GGTCGAGAGTATCTGTTTCTTCGTATAAACCGGTACGCCACTACCTACTCCCCTGTGTATATACAATTTTCTCTAGCTTCTTAAGCTTCTTTCGCGTATTTTTCACTCTCTTTTCCATCAACCTGTTCCCCTGGTCTGTATTTTATGCGCGTACAGGTGTTGGGTGTCATTTTGATTCGGTTAATGTCTCATTTGAAAAAAAAAAAATAAAGAAAAAAGAAGGCAACAACGTTCTATTGATCATTTTTCGAAAGCGGAGAAGCTTTCTTCCTCTAGAAAAGTATTTCAATATTTGCCGGATGCAAACGCGAAGACTGCCGATTTCCTAAACGTATGTACGTCGCTTTTCGCTTTGCAGTAAAAGCCTTTCTTCCGCCTTCTGTCTAGGCGAGTCAAAGATTTTTCGCCGTCGAATCGAAAGGAAAAATCGTCTGACAGCCATACTCTGGTTATGCTGCACGCGAGCGTTCCCTCGAATTGGACGCGTTTCTCATCAGAGACGAATGGAAATGGAATTTTTTTTTCCTTCGCTAGTGGAACATCCCGTGGAGGATGGCAACGTTTTAGACGCAAAACGCGCGACAAATCTCCTTGGCGCTTCGTGATCCGAGTGTAAAACGGCTCTTCCGAACGCGGCTGGTAGAAATACTCTTTGAAGGCGAATCCATTTCGAAATTCTCCACGTTTCTCTAGATAGAGAAACAGATCCGCGCGGACCTGTTCACCGTGATATCACGGGTTTTCGGCTCGAAAATCGTTTTGACGATCCTCGGATAGATCCCAGTTGAACAGGCGTGTTCCCAGACAGACGATATTTCCGGAAAGCGAAGGAAAGAGTTGTTTGAAGAACGACGAGGCAGCAGAGGAGCGCTGGGAAGGGTCAGTCGCGTAGAAAATGACGGGATAAGTGGTTTTGTTCTTGGAGACACGGTTTTTTACCTTGTCGTTCTACCTTTTTTTAACGAGCCTCTCGAGCCAACGCTGAGAACAAGAGAAGATGGAGAGAAAAGCGTGGAAAGGTGAGAAATAGGAAGGCGACCGTCGAAAAAGTTGCGCTACGTGCCGAAGTGGTCTGGCCCCTGACGAATCGCGTTACCGTTCCTGAAGGACCTCGATTACGCGTCGATCATTAAACCCAGGTCCGTGTACCGAAGCCGACGCGACGGCACTCGGCACTCGGCACTCGAGAAAAACTCACGAGCAAACGAGAAAATGGTCGATAGCAGAGGAGAGAGAGAGGATAACGGTCGGAAACAACGAGTGGACGGAATCCGTGAAGATTTCGAGTGCACGATCCGAGCAAGTCTTTTATAACAAGGAACGTTATCCAATTTGCCAGTCCGGCATCGATTCTCTTTACCTTCAAACGTGTTATGCGGACTGTTTTCAAATTCTTATTCCCTCCGAATATGTACTTACTTGCCAACCTAATAAATAATAGGTGCTGCTTTCGAAGGGTTGTTTAATGTCCCTTATGAAAAAAGTTTGCATCGCGTGGTATAAAATCGATATCAGGCGGTGAAATAATGTTCTTTGTAGAAACGTTGTAATCTTCTGTCGATAGAACACTGGTTGAAGCACATTTTTGTTGCTTCCCGTACTGATTTACCCTTTGAAAAATGACTTACTGGTTATACGCTGCAACAGAATGAAGCGACAACCGCGAAATGACACAGCGTTTCCTCCCGAGAACCGTGAGTATCACGGTGTGTCTCACGCAAAAGGATACGTCACCGTAGTGATTTATAGAAGGAATCTTTAAGCAAAGTAATACCAACTTAGAGAATAAGTTTTCGAAACTTTTAACGACAATAACTCTGATGCACGGTACTTAACGTTTAACGAACAAACTTTATAGAATAATTTGAATGATGCATAAAATGTTGGACATTGCGTTACGAGTAACTTTTAAATCCCACTCGACTGGTAGTAATTTATCGTTTGAAATTAATGCTTACAAGAAGAACGGTTGAAAAAAGTTAATTAGAGAAAAAGGTTATTAAAACGATGACGAGTCCGAGGGTTTAACGAGATAGCGGACTTAAAAGTAAAAAAAGCAACTTTTGGCAACGAAACAGGCGACGCTAATGCTATAAACTGAAATCTCTGAAGAGGAAAACCTTTTAAGGTATATCGCGTTCAATGCCGCGGGAATGAAAGGCAATTCTTTACGAACGAATCGACGCGTTTCTGAGGTTGGCGCGACATAAATTTCCGCGTGCGTCCACAATTCGGTTCATACGTCAGCTTGTCAATACGCTCGGCAAAGAAACCCCTCGCGACAAAGCTCGAGCGATTTATTCGTCGAAATTCGAGTCCATCGAGAAGCTTTGAACGCTTCCATTAGGCGATAAAATAGCCACGCCTCTTTCCCGAGGAAATTCGTTTAACCATTAGAGAACGATTACGCTACATTTTCTACGGTCATTGCTTTTTACGCGTCTGGCATAAAACAAAAGTTAGAACAAAGAAATGTCTAGTGATCGCAAGATGGTTTATCGACGATAAACGATGCGGGAAGTTTGGGAAAATTTCTCGTGGCGAAACTTTTTTCTACCACTTAGGTGTGAAAGTTCTTCCTTGAAGCATTCTTTACTCGTTCGCGATCAAAGGAACGAAGACGCGAAAGAACTTTGAAAACCTCCGGACCAACGCTGCTCCTATTTAATTCTTTAGCTTTTCAAAGCTGCTCTCTTTCGCGATTTCACTTTCTAATGGGCTTTGATGACATTCCAGCGATATGTTGCGAGACGAAGTAAATGCACGAAGATCCCTTTAAGTAATTTCATTTGAAGCTAGGTATTCGCTCTTATCCCGCGAATATTTAACGCGTAGATGAAACTCGATTGATATTTCAGGAGAGTGAAAAAGCAAATAAAAGATCGTTCGCATCTTGCCGCTTCGTCAGGTAGTTCGGTCACGTATCGCAAAGCGCGAAACAGAGAATCCCATGGCTGCAAGTTCCGCCGAGCATCGAGAGCTGTAGCGAAGTGCCTGAAAATCCACTTCAATAAACTTCCTGCCGAAAATTTAGTTACGTGCTTACCGATAAGCGGTTGGAAATTCAACCAGAAAACCATTATTCTTTCTTCGTTAAAATTAGAGAAAACTTAGCCGCGGGCAGTTTATAAATTGCAATTTTTCGCCGGCCAATTTTAATTACGGTGCTGGTAACAATGTAGGAGAAACCACGCGACGCGACATTTCGCTCTTTTCAGCTTCTTTTCTCTTTTTACCAAATAAATAAAGAAAGAAAATGGAGATTCAGGTTGGACGAGAAGCGGTGCTCGTTTTTCGGTGACACTACTGGCGCGTAATCTGTCGCCGTGGAGTCGAAAAATTAAGCTAGCAAAACAATACGAGCTGCGTTCGTTGCGTCGACGTTACACCACTCCACACCATGCCACGCCGCGCCGTGTCGGATTAACGGGTTTATTTAATTCCAGCCGGCGGGCGATATTAATTTTCCCGTCGCGAATGCAAATTACTTCATTTCGAGACGACGCTGTTTTCAGCGTGTCTTGTTGCTCGTTCGTAAAATCATGTTTGCGTAAGAGTGCAGCCGGCCGTCGCGTCGCGTCGCGTCGCGTTGCAGCGAAACGCATCGAGCCGGGATACTTTAACGCGTGCATGTGGAAAACGTGTTTGCGTGCAGTTGTGCGTCCGCGTTACGGTTTAACCGTGCTCGTTCGACCGTATTTGCATAACTACGTTGAATTTTCTCTGGTTGCATTGCGAGCTTGAAACTTTGACGTTCCGTGAATAAAAACGAAATGGTATCGTTTGAAATTTTGCATTTCTTCTTACAACTCGGTAACGTTACGGTCAAAACTAATAGCACAGTAGCTAGTCGGTAAATAGATGCACGCGTCGATGAAAACACGAGTAGCAGCAGCGGTAAAGCCGTGTCTTTCGTTTGTGCTTTCTACATTTTTCACCGTCACGTTTCACGAGGCTCCCTTACGAAGATATTGTGCCGGCGATTTTTCAAAATGGTCCGCCGCGTCGGATGAATATTCATGAAAAGCAGACCGGCGACACATTGCACCTGTGTGTATGCATTTTTGCTAGAGCTCCCTAGGATTGCATTCGCACGACAAACTGCACCGTTGAAAGCGCGATCCTACTCGGAATTACATGGTGCTGTTGAAAAGAGGAAGGAAAGTAGTGTGTCGCGCGAGCCCCGTATCGAAGCACATTAGGTAATACCAATAGGACGACTGCACCTACGGGGTCGATAGATTCTCCGACACCCATCTTTCTTCGAGAATTGTTCGCCTGAAAATATGCGACTTATACACGCGATTGGAAAGGATATTTGAAAAATAATTATATTAAAATGCTATAATTTTATATAATATTGTGTAAGAAAGATCCATTCTGTGAAATCAAGTAGATAAATCTTTTCGGTTTTCTCTGGTGAAAAAATGGTAGGTAGAGCAGCATGGCGGTGGAAAATTTATTAGCTCCTCCACTCTGCTCGCTTCTCTGCTTCCTCCCCGTGAATTTTCCTTATCGCCAGTCTCGCGACCGACTTTTCATCCGTTACGACGAGCACAGAAAAGCTTGAAACACCCACGAAATAGAATACGTGCCGACTTTATGCCGTTCGTTCTTCATTTACGAGATACTTTTTTTTCGTTTTTTCTTAGAAGACCACACAGTACGTTATACAGTGTAATAGGTAAAAGGTGAAATGATGCGTAACGAGTACACGCGGTTCGATGATATCCGAGTATGCGGTTCGTTGGAAGCCATCCGCAGCAGGGGTGGCAGTAACTTTCTAAATTATTGCCAGCAATTTATTACACGCTTTGCTCGACCGCCCCGTTGTTTTCCCGCGATTCGAGCTGCGGTTTTCAAGCGTATCCGGCGAACGGTGCGCTCTAGATAAATGCTTGCTTACTCGGGGGATATCGGTTTGAAAAAGGTGGCAATACCACCCTATTCAGAGAGTTCGAGAGGATAGAATTCTAATGAAATATTCATTTTTCTTCCAGGCATGCGACTGTCTCGGCATTAGCAAGGAGTGCGACTACTTTGGATTGAAGTATCAGAACGCAAAGGGCGAAGAGCTTTGGTTGAATCTAAGGAATCCCATAGAAAGACAAACGGGTGGTGGTGTAGCGCCTCTAAGGTTCGCACTGAGGGTTAAGTTTTGGGTGCCGCCTCACCTGTTGCTGCAAGAAGCCACCAGGTAAAAAGAAGCTTGTTTTTCAGTCTTGAAACACGGTCTCTCGTAATTATCCGTTTATCAACATTTACAAATTTCATTGTTTTCGCCGCGCAAGAACGTAACGCGGTATAAGGACGAGAAAAATTTGGCTAGAGTCGTCGAGTACGCGATCGATCGAACCGTAGATGGTTATAAGAGCATAAATTGCATCGGTTGTACCAGAATCGCTTGGATGCACCAATTTCGAGCGTTACGTATCTACGTTTCGCGTACCAATTTCGCGTTATTCAGAGAGCCGAATGTTTGATGAATAAAACTTTTTTATCAGCAACTCTAGTAGCTGGTACAGTATATCGCAGTGTGTATATTTTACGAGGAGAATTCGAAGAGTCAAAGTCCGATGAAATGGTTAGAATTATGAAATGCGAGATAGACCGGTTGCAACTATTTCCGCAGAATTTCATCGGATCGAATGGTAATTCCGATTTAATCGTGGTCGCTCGAGTTGGCCTTGGTGAAGGTAAACTCGCGAGGAATAATGCGTTCAACACGCGAATTAATTTGTCGCCCAGTGGTAACGTTGGCTGCACCCGGACTACCGTAATTGCAGCAGCTGACGCGTTCGTTCGTTCGTTCCCCCGGTTTTTGTTCCCTCTGTACAGCAACACGTGTTCCTAAATTTACGCTATCGAAACCTCTATCGATACCGTGCATGGAAAAACCGGAAAATCGTTGCGGAAAATTAAATCGTTCGTCGTGAAATCTCTGCTTCGACTCAAATTACCTTTGACGAATTGTTCACCAAACATTCGACACGTTTTTCCTGGTGTAATCAATCCGATCGAAGTTTCGGAGTTTATTTTAATTTTACACGTTCGCAATTAAGAAATTGATGGTCTGTTATTCCCCGATGGAAGCATCATTATTGAGAATCGATGAATCTTGTATTATCCCGATAGTAATCTCCGTGCCTCTGATTCATCCGGGTTTTTTTTTCTGAATTAATTCAATATTCCGGGTAACGTATACATAACTCACGGGCTGAAATTTAATTGGATAAATCTGTCGAGCTCTGATATAAATCCCGTCTTTGTTTTCTTTAATCTTTCCGTCCTCTTCGTTCAAGGTAAATAAACGAGAAAAATGAATCGAATTAATAATATAAACGTATATAAACGTGTTCTTGTTATTTTCATTTTATTGTTGAGAAAAATAATGTAAAACGAAATAACTGATGGATCGATAGAAATGAAAAATTCTTGGAACGTAGAGAGTTAATTTCGCTGATATTCCATCGATGGTTGATCGAAGGGTGCAACAGTGCGAAAATGCAGAATGAATTTAACGCGAAAAGCATGGAATACCGGGGCTTTACAACGGTTCGTGGTCAGAACACGTTGCCGCTCGAATTAATGCTTGAACTATATTAACGTCGTTTGAATATTTCCCCATTAATTCTCTTTGCCACGTTTAAATGTCCACATTGCTTACCAAAAGGACGAATTAACTCTAGGCGGTGGCACGAATACTGCGTTCTCCGCTGAAAAAGTAAAACGAACAACGTCAACGTGACTCGTAATTCATCGAACAAGAATAAACAGATGAAAGAAACTTGACGTTTGCTAATGATGAAAAAGCTCTTTCGAGCATCGTTGGTAGGATACTCGCCCATTCTCTGCGGTTACGATGCGAGAATTTCACACTTTAGTCTATTCGCAACTGCTCAAACCCATTCGCTCGTTAATTCAACGCAAACATTTTACAGTTGTTGTTTCGTTTCTCAACACTTTATGCTTTTATTTATTCCATTCGTTCGTCAGTTGGTTTCATTCAGAAATTTATGCATTCACGAAGCGTTCGATTCCTCATTATTTCGTACTAGTTTTTCTGAACTTCCTTGCAGATTTTTGCAGGGTTCATCTTGTACCTTGTACGTCACCCTTTAGTTTAGCGAGCTATACGATGGCCGCATAGTTTAGTTCGGCCTAAATCGATTAGTATGTAATATTTCATGGAGGCGAAGGCTGGGATCAGGTATAAAGCAGGTGCCAGGGTACCAGAGAAGCATCGAATTCTCCGGAACTAGAGAACAAAGAGCGTAGACGCGAGCACGGGCATGGCGTCGAGATTTGGTGGACGTTTGCCTCGGAAATATAAATCAGGGCTTATTACAATGCTATTGTCGCGAGATGCGCGTACAGTTTTCCCTGATATTCAATACCACCGATACAATGGCGAAACAATGGCTTTGCTTTGAATCTCGTAAATTTAACATTTATTCCCGTTTATTTGTCTTTTTTAATCGACTTAAAAGGTATAAATGAAATATAAATTATTTTACATTTTTTAGCGCACCTCGAAGTCGGTTGTATTTTTTAGTTAAAAATTATTTTATTCTTGATTCAAATCAAAGTAGAATTTAATTACATTTAATATGAATAATTTTCAAACTAACTAAGATTTACTATCACGTCCATTGATTCGAATGAAAAGTTTCACGGAATCACTTAAACAAGTTGTCGCTAAATTTGAGAGCTTCTCTGAAATCTGGTTGCCGTTAAAACGTTACCTAGCCATTCGAAGAACCTGAAGAAGACTCGGTGAACTCTGGAGAAGCTTTTGAAAGCTCTTTGAGGAAATTTCGCTAAGCATCTCGCGCTTAACCTTAAGAGGGCGCAAGTTCGAAATCCAAGGGATTCCGAAGCTGTTTGACTGGCTGCACAGACTCGCGACTTGCGAGCTTGGATTTCAATGGATGCCCTCTTGAAACTTGCCGGGCAAAGCTAACTTTACGAAAGCTCGGTCTCGCGTTTTGCAAACGATCCTGAAGCGCATAATTTACTTCGATTAAGATGTCGTTGAACCCGTGACACCGCTGACTCGACGGTTATTCTTTCTGTAAAACACTGCTGTTTACGGCTGTTTATCGTGGAAAACAGCACCGGTTCGCGGAACAGAAGAACGCGAAGATTGTAGAGTCGAGAGAAACGGGGTGGTTACGGTGCACGGGTAACTTATTGTTAGCGTGGAACACACAGCGCATCGTACGTATACTCTAACGGAGGCTTTACTCGTTTTGGCGCGCTAAGCTCGCCAACGACGATCGACACAGCTAGCTTTGGAAGCGCGTAAAAGCGCAAACGCTGCAAAGTTCGACGATAACTTAGGTTTCGAGCAACGCGACGATCGGCTGAAACACCTACCCACGGCCTTCGTAAACTTCCTCGTTCCCATTCATTTAGGAAACTTAAGGGAAACAAAGAAAATTCGGCGAACCGAATGTAGCGAGCGATTTTCTATCCTGTTGAACGATTGCTGTAATTTTCAGCATGATCGACTAGGAATTCAGGGTCCCCTGGAAGATTTGGTTACTTTTGTTATTGGAAAGGTTTGAACTTTTCCCTCGGTTGGTTGACGGCATTTATGAAAACCGCAACCCGCTTGACAGTTGAAAAATGAACGAAGCGAAACAGCAAGAAACTGTAATTCGATACGGTGTGGAATTTCTAGTTAAGAACGATCGTAAAACCATTAAACTTTGCTGTACGTATTTTCTGGTAAGCCCTCTAGGGGAAATTTTGATATTAAACTAACCGTTGTACGGTGAAGTTTGTTCGAAACTCTCTCTAAATATTTTTAAATACCCAGAAGCTGTTTACCGTTCTCGAGAGCCAGTGTCCGTAGGTTAAGCGGTCCTCCTCCAGTTTACTTTACCCTTTCCTTTTTTTTACGTGTTCAACTTTAACAGCGTGCTCGAGTGTTTTTTCCCTAGAACCGTAGAAATTTTCACCATGAAATTTAAAACGCGAAAGCGTAGTTCGTGGTCGAGAATTTATTAGTTTTTCTCGAAAGCAGAAGTTCCGTTTCTCGATGCTGGCTTATGAATACGTTGGTATATATCGGAAACACGAAAACAGCGAAGGTAATTAGCACACGGGTAAATTAGTTATGCAACAGTTGCAAAGGCAGTGAGTAGGTTGTCTGTAGGTAGAGCCAGAGAGTTATTGGATAGAGGGTAGACGTAGCTGGTGCATCTGGTGCTTTGGTTTATTCATTCGCTCGGGAACATTGCCATTAATCTACGGAAACTATACAGAGAAAAGGAATTCACCGGCGTGTTATAAAACTGCTTGTCTCTGCGCGAGAAAATCTTTTTACGTCCCTTCGCGTCGTTCAGGTAAACTGATATTAATATCGTCGTTATTAATAAGAATAGCTAAGAGCTTTAATTTCGGTAGTTATCGTAAACATTCCGAACGTTCTGGTACTAATAACGTGATATATTTCGTTAGGGTCACAAATAGAATAGAGATTCTCTATCCCGATAGTTGCCATTCTACTTCTCTTCTCTCTTTGAACGATCTCCGAATGATTACGTTATCTCGAATTCTCGACTCACCATCTCTGTGTATATACTCGGTAGATCTTGGGTGTATTTGTTACCAGAACTTTGATTAAATCAGTTGAAACGAACGGCTGGTTGGACTGGACCATTTGTTTCAAGAAGAGCATCGTTTTTCAAAGCAACACTTTGATAGTCGTGCAGTTTGTACATACACCCCTTGTACCGTACACCACTCTGACGCTGCCCTGCTAGTTAATGTCGCGATCAAACGATCCCGAGGGTCATACAGAATATATTTATCGCGATAAACGATGGAATTATCGGTTAGCGAACCTCTTGAATATTGATGGCCATTTCAAAATTCCAACGTCTGTTGGACGGTGTCTGCCTGTGATGGAGACGTTGTTATCGATATAAACGTTGATTTATATTTAATGTAAAACATACGTATACCGGGAACCGGTTCAGTTTAACTAATTTGGCCAAGAAGGACGATTTAGCTCGGTGACAGAGTCAGGGCTAATTCATAGCTGTCACAAACAGTAGGGAACAGTCGCAAACAGAGAACTGGAAATGTGCGCTTTGAAATTACCATCACCGGATGAAACAACCTTATCCGCTTGAATTACTTGCGCGAGAATGCCGTCACTGCTACCGCAATGTCTGTCCTCGTAACTTGCCACCCCGTCTTCTCATCTCGCCATCGAAACAGCTAATTTGCCTCTTTCGGCTTGAATACACGTTTTTAATGCGTACCCTTTAATAAATCATATTTAGGAAGTGGGTGCAATTATCGGTAAATTAAACGACCAGAATACTTTGATAGTTTCGAAGAACTCGTAGAGGGTAGCGAACGCGACTAAGGCATCGCTGAATGAAGACGTAAACTCGACTTAACTATCGAATGGGTTAAATTGCTCGCGAGACGGAAATCATTTTCAAAAGAAACTTGCCGGCGAGCAGCGTGGTTTATTAACCGAAAGTTTTCCAACCAAGTTTCTTGGTCGCAAAGTATAAACTCGTAGAACGTGATGTTTCAAACAACGAGCGAATGAAAATACGAGAAGCGAAGAAAGGAATTATCTGCGTGGTTATGCAAGTATCGCAGCTCTTTCGAAGAAGAAGAAGAAGAAGAAGACATCAAAGATAGAACACTCGAGCTTTCGTCAGCGGATTTCCACTCGCACAGTTGTTAACGATAAGTCGTCCAACGAGAGTTTCGAACATTTGGTCTGTCGTTGGGCAAGTTCGATCAGAACCAATATCTTTCTCGCGATGACAAATGTCAGTTGGTTCGTGCAGTTTCGTTCCCTCCCTCTTGGTCTCTGTATCAAACTTTTCTATAAGTTCTATACGGTGAACGAGCACCCGACGTCTTTTGCTGTTAGTAGCCTGTCCTCGAATTCAGGAAGATCACCCCGCTAAATAACTACCTCGTTTCCTTTCTGAAAACCTTCGCATTCACCCTTGTACCATACCGCGTTATTATTTGCAAACATCGATTCTGCATTGTTGTTTCGTTCAAGTTGATTTTATGGTCGATAACTGCTTGAATAGAACGATCGTGCACCTTTATTTGTAGCAGAGATAACTTAACAGCGAAACCCTACGAACGTTTGTAACGGAATTCATTGTGTAAGGGTGTAATTCAAATTCAGCGAAATCCATCAAAACTTGATCAATTTCGATCGTTTTCGATCGAACGTTAAATTCGCTCGTTGTAGGAACAACCAGAAACCACATCGAACGAACTAATAGTTTCTCAAATGTTCCGTTTCAATTTACCATCTGTACAAATGAAATTCTCCCCTGACTGCAAGCTATTTTATCGTTCCACGGATTACGCGTCAAAATCTCCTGTTGCATTTTCCATTAACGCGATTGTCCAAAGTAAAACAATCGTAAAAGGAAAACATCGTTTTATTATAATTACGTAAAATGCTTCTCGATGTATTTTATATTTGCAATAACGAATAACGAGAACCAACGTTCTCGAAACAGTAACAAATACATAAATAACACGTTGAATCGTATCGTTTTACGCTATATTATTCCGTCTACTTTATTACCTGATGGTTTTAATGAAAATTCGTTACCAATTACAATCGTTCTGTTGGAAATTTGGAAAAAATGCCTCGTACTCAGTCAATAAACTCGGTAAATGGAGCAAAATGAATGTGCAAAATATAAAAACAAAGTTCGGCTCGATCATTTTATACAATATCGTAGCACAATATTCAGCGTATAATAAAAAGAGAGGATTTTCGACGTGTTAATAGTTCTCCATGTATCGATGCGATTCGATTAATGTCTCCGTTTTAATTTTTTTTATTTTCATCTTTTTCCATTCTTTTGTTACAGGCATCAATTTTATTTACACTCACGTTTGGAACTGGTGGAGGGTAGGTTGAAAGTGTCCGATTGGACCAGTGTGGCGCGTCTGATCGCTTTGATAGCGCAAGCAGACGCAGGTGATTACGACGCGTTGTCGCCACCCCATGCGCTCTATTCCCAATGCTGTCAGATACAACCGACGGAACCGTGCGAACCGAAACCTCAGGATTTCCTGCACCGGATAGTTCAGCAACACAAAGAAATCAAGGTTCGATCTCTTCTTCATTGTTTTCCTTCTTTTTCCCTTTCGAATATTTGATAGAGAAAATATTTTTATTAAAATATATATTTATTCAGGGCATGAAACCATCCACCGGCGAGTATTGGTTGCTAAAAGAGATCTCGAATCTAGACACTTTCGGCCAGGAAATGTTTCACAGTAAATTTGGATACAACGGAGTATCGATGATCGGTGTTGGACCTCACGGTATTACAGTGTACCGTAGCAACGACGAAGAAACGCAAAAGTACGTATAGTAAAATAGGATTATACGGTAAGAAAATATTTTCCTGGTCGGAGAGCGGTATCCGCTTCAACATTTTACTCATCGTACAATTTTCTCTTCCCTTTGTTTTCCAGTATACCGTATACGGCGATACAAAGCGCAACGTCTCAACGTCGAATGTTTCATTTAGTTTACCTGTCGCTCGACGGTGAAGAGACCTCGTTGAACTTTAAATTAGATTCCAGCCAATCCGCAAGTGGACTTTACAGAGCAATTACCGAAAAACACGCGTTTTACAGCTGCGAGACGGTTAGGAGCGCGGTGACCGCTCAGTTTATACGAGACTTGAAGGTATCCTCCCCTTAACCATATTGCCGAATTGGAAAAAGGAGATGCGAAAACACCGCCGTACACGGCAACTGAATTGACCTGTTTCTCCGCAGGGTACTATAATCTCGATTTTCAACGAGGACTCGACGTTAGGAAAGAAGTATGTGTTCGATATCCGGAGAACCTGCCGAGAAGTGTACGATAATGCACGACGAGCCTTGTACTGCGAAGCTACGACCGTGAATTTGCCGGAGGAGAACGAAATGTTGGAGAAGCACGACTGTGGGGACTGCGAGGATCCCAAGTGCAAGGTATGTATTTCGACGAACACCCACTCCTACTACAGTTAACACTTTGCCGTCTCTATGAAACTATAACTCTGTTTGACTGGAGTAAACCAAACGTGTGATACCACGTATGACGTATAAGTATCTATTGATATTACAATTTTTTTTTTTTTTTTTTTAATATTCATGTTCTTCATTCATCAATGAACGTTTCGTTTATATTTTTTTCCATCACTTATTATGTGGACTGTCGAGAAAGTAAAGTATCACCTTTCATTTTGTCATCTGTTCGAGTGCAAGTTCGCGTCCGCGTCACGACAGGATGAAAGATTGCTATACGCTTTTATTCTGATCCTGTCCCGTTTGCCAAACAACGAAAGCGAGTGATACGGTTACTGGCTTTGATTTGTGTCGCATCATAATGGACCAACACCTGCCGCTACGGCGGGATTTAGCGTTCTATCAACTCCTAACGTTTCTACACCGTCGACGGACAGCAAAGATGTTAACTTATCGAGCTCGCGAACACGATTGTTTACAGTTGTTTAACTTACAGGAATCTCGGGAATGTTTGGCAAGATTATTGGACGCGATGCTCTGTCGCATTTGCATGGATCGTAGCTTAGACACCGCCTTGTTCCCGTGCGGACACGCGGTGGCTTGCTTGGATTGCGCCAGACGTTGCGAACGTTGTCCACTTTGTCGGGCCGACATCGACCACTGCCGGACGATATATCTTCCCATCGAGCTGACGCACGTCGACAAGCACAGCCCAAAATTGGTCTCCGAGTCCATCGAGCCTCTCTACGGGAACGCGTCCACCGAAGAGATTCAGAAGAGAGCTTTAGGAAACGAGAACACGGTGAACGGTAACGGCATTTGAGAGTGCCATCGCGGAAGAAGATTCAACGTGGCTCAACGATTCCTTGGAATCTTCGCTTGTCGAACAGAGAGAACGCATTGACGTCGTTCGTCGAATCGAGCTTCGATCGAGTCTTTTCAAGATTTTCTTTTTTTATTCTTCTCACGATTCAATGTAAGCTTCGAGTTACTTTTTTAACCGCGAAAAACGTAGTTTATTTATCGAATGTCGAAAAAGAAATTATTTTCTAGCGCTTTTTTTTTTTATACTTTGTTAATAAAATACGTTTCGAAGGAGTTGTATAATTTGCCAGAGCACTGTGACATTTTATGTTTAAGGACGAGCAAAGACATCGTTTTCTTTCGCGTTTTAACACGTAGACTGCCATGGAGGTCACCGATCAGCGGTGCTACGAATTTCATTTAACGTGTTAAATTTGATTTGATTTTTAATTTTTCGAATACCACTAAGATTCGAAAGATTCATTGGTACTGTGATCAAAAAGATAAAAAAGAAAAACAACGCGAGTTCGTAACATTAATGAAATTAATATCGTTTAAAAATCTTATCTTATCTATTTATAACAATGTTGCAATGTTACTAAGAATGTTGTCGATATTTCATCATTGAATAATTAACGATATTATAACGTCTTGATTGAACGACCGAAAAGTGCTATTAGCAGCATTGATCTTTGACAAACAGTGCTGCCGTTATTTTCAAGAGAATCGTATAATTTATATCAATGCAAAATTGAATTACGTTGTGCAAAAGATTTTATATTTTCATCGACAACTGGACGAATAAGTTATGTTTCTTTCTTTTTTTTTCTTTTTTTTTTTTTTAATTTAATCGTTGTTTACAACACTTCTTGATACCTTTGTTCCTCTTAGATAGATTATACACATATTTTTTTCTTTCTCTTCTTCCTCGTACGTGTATCGACTTTCGTTCAGATATCGTGGTGCCGGGGTCACCAGGGTGAAGAGTTTTATTAAAACCAGTGACCCTTCATATTTTTAATATAGCATATACGTTACTCATTATGCGTACACAGTATCGTTTACAAAACGACTGGTATAACGTTCCTTCTTATAGAGGATATTTCATTTAAGATGAACGCGGATCTCGAACGGTGTAATCGATCGTTGATGGAACGCTTTTATCATCGAGTCGCGCGATATTTATACATTTCTGTTCGCTTCAACGTGTGTACAGGTTTAATATTCGATGAACCAGAAGAGCCATCGCTAGAATCGATTAACGACCAAATAATACGTTGTTTCTTATTTTGAAACGTCCTGTAAAAGAAGGAAACTTTGTTACAGTAATATCTGTTTATATGTACATAAGAGGCGATGATAACCCTCGGTAGGAGGGTCAAACGAGTAAAAGTCATGAGTTCACCAAATGTCAAATCTGATTTAACAGACTCAGTGCGAATGCTATCTTTTTAAGCAAGTCATAATAAAAAAAAGAATATATATTAATTGGTGCACTTTGCACACATATACATACATACATACATACATAAAGAAGATAATTTACGTATCAGCAATATTCCCTTTGCGAAAGAGCGCGAGAAAAGCTGTTTCTGAATCAAAAAAAAAAAAAAGTGAAAGAAAGTGTAGAATGTAAATGTTTTATCGAAGCGTGCAGAGGTTTACGTATTATTTATATTTTTTTCTTGATATTAATGTATCATTCTTCTTCTAATTTTTCTTTTTTCACCTCGATCGAGAACGCTTTAATCGTTACCATCGTCGATAGATAGCATCGATTTAATTAAAACCCTTATTGGTAGCATTTTACGAAGTCTTGCATATGCGTATTGAAAGGGAGGCTGTCATGAGAGGGAGAATAAGAGACAAAGAAATCGTTATAGTCATTCATCAATGCAAAGCAGATCTAGTATGTAATTATTGATAAGGAAAAATGATAATAGCGTTTATAATACGCGCTACTGCGTTTAATGACGATTATTGTCAACTTTATCGTTAAGTCAACGGTAGCGTAATCCCTCTTTTCCTGGCGTTTTTCAACGCTTTATACCCCTGGTCTCTATTCTTTAGTTTCCCCGTTAGTATTTTTGTATTTCACCCCGAAGGAAATCGTGATTACGCTGCTTCCCCAAGTCAGATATCGATTCGAGTGATTCTTTATATACGAGCGCGATTATAAATATACGTATAACAATATTAAACTCGTAGTTACGGAAATTTCGTATCGATGCAATAACGCGTCAACGTGTTTCCACGATATCGAAAATAAACATATTTTCTTCAGAATTTTCTAACTGTCACCGGTATCGATCAATGTGCTTTTATGCGTTAGAAGTTCGTTTTCGAAAACCAAGCGGTATTGGAAAGAAAAAAAAAAAGAAAAATTGTTTTATAAATTATAACCGTATGTGGTCTTCGAGAAGAAAACAACTGAACGAATTTGTACCACCGCTATACGTTTACTCGATTATATATAAGAATAATATAATAACGACAACAATAACATTGCTGTTATAGTAAAAGCAACAAATTTTTGTGATTAAATCTCTGTATAAATGCGTACTCGAAGAAATTCGAAATCATTGTAATTGGTAGATGTGTATGGTAGAAATGAAAGATATCGGAGAGAATGGATTTTTAAGAATTATCATTTGCAAAGAGTATTTTTAAAGTATTTTTAATTATTTTTTAGTATTATATCAGGATTCCACTTAAACGGTGGTATATATACATATGAGACCGACACAATCTACAAAAAATAATTTTTAGCATTATAAAGGTACAATGTCCCAACCTGTTGATTAAATACTATGAAACATTTATTGATGTTCGCCTTTTACTCCCACTTATTCTACACCTATTTCCCAATTTAATTATATTTTTGATGTTTACCTTGTTTTTTGATAAAATCATCCACGAGTATGTTACGATCAACTTAAATTTATCGGTACTCTGTATATAATTTAGTACCTTAGAATATAAGGTACCTTTAGTACCCTGAAATGATGCTAGAAATATAAATCATTGAATGCTATAATTATACATATTAGAGAATTGTAAATGTATTTTGAATAATTGTCGGATAAACCGATTAGAACAATCATGGAATTTTTACGTTACTCATACTGGTATCTAACAAATTGAATAGACAATAAACGTTATATAAGGACAGTAAAATTATTGCGTTGGTTCAACTAAAAAAATTTTAAATCTAGCGCCAAATTGATCTTAGCGGCAGTTCGGCTAAAAGCTGTTATATCTGCGCATGCGTCTTAGGCTTTGATTGGTTGACGCAGCGGCATTGTCATATGACGAAGCTGCGTGGCATCATGGGAAGCAGATCGCAATTTTGCAACATGGCGGTGAATTGAGCCAAAGTCGCGGTGCTGTGCCATCAGAAAATGTATTTTTCGTAGTCGTGCAACTTCTTTTATTATACTTTTCATGTATGCGACAGTGTAATACGGATTCGGGACGCGTTAGACGGTACACGGTGCATGTAAATATGAGTGTAACGAAGCGTAACATTATTTCGAAGGTGACACCCCGCAACTCGGTGTGGTGTTCGAGCACGTATGGCAGAGACTAGAATCTGAGATAAGGAAGCTCTGCTTCGCTTAAGTAATACGTACCGTCGATTAAAATTACCACCACAAAGTAGCGATGTGGTGGTTACCTCTCCCGAACTGTGAAAACGTGAGTGTTTCCTGTAAAATATATAAAGTGTACGTAGTAAAGTGTCGTGGGTGCGTATTTCGGTAGCAAGAAGAGTGTACGTTTGCCTTGTCTATGATCCTTAATATCCCTCTTATGCATTTCTTCCAATGATTTTACCATAAAAGTTTCATTAATCTTGCTGTAAATTCTTTTAATCACCAACAGCTGCATTAGAGTTTAATTGAACTGTGAAAACTTCGATATACAAATCGGTTCCATCGTATGTGCCACCATTGCGTTAAATATTTTTCACAAAGTTACATTTTTCTTCGTTTTCGTTGGAAAGAGTCAAAAAAATTCCATAAAATTAATGCTGTTTACTCATTCTTGCGACGAGTTGTCTTTTCGTTATCGAAAAATTTGTATTCTAATCGATTTAGTCGAAAGTGCTCACCTTTGTGCTTTGCTCATGTTTCTTCCTTACCTGTGCTTAAATCATATTCTATATGAAATCATTTTATACTCAGGTTAGATATACCGGGATCTTTCACGAATTTTTCTATTACCGATGCCCGAAAATGTGTTTTATGGTCGGTGTCGGTAAACGTCGATGTAGCAACACTCCAAAAATACCACATGTTACAGTATTCTAAAAGCATCACACGTTGCAATCCTTCACTAACGATAAGAATTTATGACGATCAACGATATATCGTATTTATTGTTTCAAATAAACATTTTGCAAAACAATAATAATAGTTTTTGATAGCTTAATTAGACACAGTGTGTACAATATATAAAGACTCCTTTACTGTATCTATTCAGTATTTAATTATTTATATTTTTATGGATTAATCTGTGTCTTCGTGAATGAATAAAATTATATCATATATGAATATTTTGTTAAGTTGATTTTATTTCAATTAAATCTGATCAGGTTGGAAGCATATGAGCTATTAAAGCACAAGATCATTTTTGTGAAAATATGTATCAAGTTATTGATAAATGTTATACAATTAAACAAATCTGTTTTGTCACATCAAATAATTCTTTTCCTGTATTGAATAAAGAATGAGGTCACAGCTGCACCCAAATAAACTCATTTGCATACAATAAGGTTTCCTATACACTTTGAAATAATATTCTGTGCGTTTAATACCTTTTATCTATGATAATGTTTTAAGTAATACCTATATTCATTGAGTGTACATGCGATTGTTATTATATCCTTCCTAAATATACATAGTAGTAAATAGAATTAAATAGGTTATATCTAATATAAATATTCTTATATTTCCAGATATGTGCAAAATTCAAAAACTTTGTCAATCACTGTAAGTTGTGATCGTATATGAGTGCCAAACAAAAATACATAAAAGGGCATTGAACGGACCCAATGGTTTCCTGACATGATGGAAAATAAATTATATGTGAAAAATGAGCCGGGACTCGATGGGCAATCGCTTGCAAATCCGCAACCAAACCCACCCTCTGAAGATATCGGAGGTGCTAGGGTTTGTTTTGTTTGCGGTACAGTGGGCCATGGGGAACAATACTGGCTCAGAGTAAAACCAAGTCCAGGCGGTGCACCAAATGAACCTTATTTTCCATTTCTTGAATCCCATGAACCACCTGCTGGTTATCGTGGTGAGGGAGCCAGAAGCGGAGCAGTCAAGGCATGCAGTCTTTGCTATGCCTTGTTGCTGCAACAATGGGAAAGTTACGAACAGGATGCTAGACCTCATAGTCAACGAATTTATTGGCTGAAAAGATGCGATGGTGGTCCTTTCACAGGAGCTGAGATGGCTCTTCAGGGAGAATACGCTGCTCAAGTTCTGGGCTTAACTAATGATCAGACACCACAAATTAGACCAGAAAATCGACCAGTCGGAATCTCTCCGCGACTTCCACCAAATTCACCATCTCCCAGAGTGGAACAAACGAGACCACCATCAAACTCTATTGAACTGCCAAGACCACATTCTAATACAGCAGAAACGCACAGACACTTGGAACAAGCAAGGCTTACAATGGAATCTCCCCATCAAAGACTGCAGTCGCCGCATCAAAGGTTACAAAGTCCCAGACAGCCTGTAGAAGATACAAGAATATCTAATGAAGCGGCATTGGATTTAAGACACGCACCTAGAAGTTCACCTGCACCTCAACCAACTTTACCACCACAACCTCAGCGTGAGTTTACTTTTAAATGATAAGTTATTAAGTCATTTTACTAAACGGGTAGATGTAAACATTAGCATTCCTTTCAATGAGGTGATTAAAAAAAGCAGTTAATTTATCTTCTGATCTCAATCTTCGATGTACAAGTGACTCAAAAAACTGTATTTAAATTATGTTTAAAACGAGCCGATAATGTGATAAAACATGCAGAGTAAAAGTAGAGCACTTGCAAAACGCGATAATAGTCGTATTGAAACGCATAAAAGGTTTTAAAAAACAGAACAAGAACGAAAAATTAATGTTTCTTACTGATTTCGGTACTAATTATTAATAATCATCAATTCATAATGGTTTCATCTATCAATTACAGCCATTTATAGCGGCGGATCCTCGTCAAGTGTCGGTACCGATATCTTGGATCTTTCGATGCCAGATAAGAATTCAGTTACGGAAGTCTGTTATGTGTGCGGAGATGAATTCAAAAGAGGGTCACTTAGTCATATTGCAGCAAAACCACTGCCAACTCCGCCACATCCTTCTGCCAGTCCTCCGCCATTTTTTCCCTCGTTAATGCTTCATCCGCGACCAAGTAGAAGTCGACCTATGGACAGTGCTGGTCGTGTACAGGTATATCTTCCTTGATCGCATCATTATTCGTTTACTATTATTACTTGTTGCAATGCATAACACGTGTATTTTTCGTTTCAGGCTTGTTCAGCGTGTCAAAATCATCTTTTGTTACAATGGAAAGCATATACTCGGCAAGGGGTACCGC